TATTTGATTAACCTAATTTTAGTAATTTGTATTTGTTTTTTCTCTAAAATATTTACCGAAGAGGGCACTTCTGTCACAAAATTGATCATGTGACATGCATACGATTATTCTTAAGAGGTGGAAAGCAAAGAACGCTAACAAAACAAGGGAAAGGAGTACGAAAATTAACAATAGAATAGTAGCTAGCTTATCATACTGAAGCGTATTGATAACTTTTTCTTAAGAGAAAATGTAAGTCGTTGTCCCTCGAGTTGTTGTGCCTAGAGAAACCAAAACAATCGCCGAGAAAAGATAAACCAAACAACCACAATAGCACAAACAATCACAAACACCAGTTTTTACGTGGTTCGGCAAGTTGCCTACGTCCACGGGGCAAGGAGGGGGGAGTTTTCACTATTAGAAATCAAGAGGAACAAACTAGGGTTACAAATCTCTCATAAACCCTCCACAATCAACTCTCAATCTCTCCAATTGCTCCTAGAATAGAAGCCCAAAGAAAACTCTCTCAATCTGCTCAAATTCGTCCTTGCTCTTACCCTAAAAAACACCCAATGGGTATTTATACAAATCCAAAACGAAGCGGGTCTGAAAACAGGCCCAACTCAAAACCGCAGCGTCGGTCGACCGGTACGGTCGACCGCGATCCATCGCGGTCGACCGGACCGGTCGACTGCCCTCCATCCAGCAGCAAACCCAATGTCCAGAGAGGTCGTCGGTCGACCGACACGGTCGACCGCCCATAGATTCGGTCGACCGGATCGGTCGACCGCCACCAATCCTGAAGCCCAATAACTCCTGTGCACGAATGCGGTCGACCGGGCCGGTCGACCGCCACCCAATTCTGCTGAAACCCGAACTTTCTGCCAATTCTACAAATCTCCACCTCGGCGAAGATTCTACCAAAATAGCATCATCAACGACCCCAAACTGAAGCGATCCGAACACCTCCACCTGAGGTGAAACAATGGCCGTATCCAAAAAATATCCACCAGCTGCATCCAAGTCAACCACCTTATCATCTGCCCCCATAAATAAATGACTCCCACGCTGTGCCACCTCAGCTGGAATCCCAACCAATGCAGAATGACCTGGAGTATGTGAGGAAATCCTCACCTAATGTGGAGTAGCATCAACCTCCACCCGCTGCGATATCCCTCTGACCTGATCAATACTCTCCACCTGCCGAGAGTCCAAAGTGACAAACCTGCTCAGACCAAACTCAGAAGCTCCCCACTGATAGCCGAACGAGCCTCTGAATCCTAAATGCGCAATCGGATCCAATCTCACATCAGCGATGTGACCAAGTGCTGGGTAGCCAAATATCCGACGCCAACCAAAATCTGAAACAGCTCCACCAGATCTAACAACTCTACACGCAGCAGTCGGCAACCACATAAGATGACCCAAACCTGTCGAAGCCTGAATACCAGATCCACTGCTCGACAACCAATACCGATCCTCCTCCAGAAAGGAACGGCTCACTAAATCCGCCATCTCATCACGTCGCCCCACTGTCTCCTTCCCTCTGAAGTGTCTCCAACTGCCGTGAGCTCGGCACCAATGCAAGAAAGGACTCCTACTAGAATAAGTACGACTGGTAACCTTTCTGCCCATACACCTCCTCCAACTGTTGCGGACTACTAGGTCTTTATACCAACGGGACTTGGTTGCAACCCAAATATGCCTAGTACAATCCCCAACATAGGAAACAAAATAACGATTACCTCCCGATGATGCCTCCTCGGAAAGCCCCCAAATGCCTGACTGAACACCTCCAATAAGACCTCTCGATCGATGGATAGAAGTGCTGAACTCCACCTCGGTCTTCTCGCTCATACCAATGTGCTTACAGGACTTCAATCTGCAGGTCATAGCACTCCTCAACAATCTGTGCACGGTATAACCAACAATATATCCCAGCACCAAACAATGCCACAGTCTAGCCATAGAAGTAGTCAGCGCCCTATCAACTACCGTGCTCCCAAGTAGATAATACAAGTTACTCCGCCTGACTCCCTTCATCACAATTATGGACCCCGATGTGACCTTCAAGCGAGAATCCGCCAAGATCACCCTATAGCCTGATGCCTCCAATACCCCAAGTGAAATGATGTTCTTCCTCAGTTGAGGAACGAACCTCACATCAGCCAACTCCCGGATCATCCCGTCACTCATCCGAATCCGAACGGTACCAATACCACCAATAGGGCATCTGTGATCATTACCCATGAGAACAGCATCCCCTCTTTCCAACTCCTGAAAGCTGGAGAACCAATCCCTTCTAGGGCATATGTGGTAAGTAGCACCAGAATCCAACATCCACTCGGTGGAGTCGGCAACATCAACTGACGGAAGAGCTGGGCACGAATAGCCCGAAGAATCTGAATCTGAATCTGAAACATCGCCACTAGCCTTGGCAATATTCACCTCTGAAGCTTGAATAGCTTTCCCTTTATTCTTCACAGCTTGCAATTTTGGGCATTCGGCTTTCCAATGTCCATCCTCTCTACAAAAGGCACACTGATTCCTACCAACTGCAGGATGCCCCACTCTAGACTGCGACCTTCTTCCATGGTTTGGACTTCTAGCTCTTGCAACCAATGCACCAGCAACCGGCTCGATGGAAGTCTCCTTGTCCTTCTTTCGAAGTTGATAATTCACAAGGGCTGCGGTGACCTCACTATACGAAAGTGATGCCTTTCCATTAATAAGAGTGAGGACGAAGGTCTCATATTCCTCGTCGGGCAAGGAACTCAATAACAACAATGCCTTGTCCTCGTCTTCAACCTTGACATCTACATTCGCCAAATCTGCAAGTAGCTTCGTGTAGTGGTTCATGTGATCACTAATGGATGTCCCCTTCTTCAATTGGAAGCGATAAAGCCTCCTCTTCAAATGCAAACGATTTTCGATGCTCTTCGTCAAATATTTGCCCTCTAGGACCTCCCAAATCTTCTTTGCCGAAGTTTCATTCATCACATCATATTTAAGGTCTTGGGTAAGGCAAGACCTAATCACACCACACGCCGTTCTATTCATCTTATTCCAAACCTTTTCATCAACGTCGGCCGGTTTTCCGTCCAACTCCAATGTATCTTCCAAATTTTGCGCATTTAGCGCATCCATGACTTCGCATCGCCAAAGTCCAAAATTATTTGTGCCGTTGAACTTTTCCACATCTATTTTCATAGAATGTATATTCAAACTTTGGACGGCCTTCACACCAGAAGAACCCTCCCCACTTTTATCTTTTTCAGCCATATATCTTAAAGCACCAACAAACCAATGCGGAAAAACAAACGAGAAATAGATCCAAATTGAAAAAGACGAGATTTTTACTGAAAAGATCCCACCTTTATCACCAAACGAAGCCCTAGATGAACTTCCAAAGCGATCTACTCCTCCAAAATAGCCCAAGCGTAGCCCGGAGCTCTGATACCAATTGTTGTGCCTAGAGAAACCAAAACAATCGCCGAGAAAAGATAAACCAAACAACCACAATAGCACAAACAATCACAAACACCAGTTTTTACGTGGTTCGGCAAGTTGCCTACGTCCACGGGGCAAGGAGGGGGGAGTTTTCACTATTAGAAATCAAGAGGAACAAACTAGGGTTACAAATCTCTCATAAACCCTCCACAATCAACTCTCAATCTCTCCAATTGCTCCTAGAATAGAAGCCCAAAGAAAACTCTCTCAATCTGCTCAAATTCGTCCTTGCTCTTACCCTAAAAAACACCCAATGGGTATTTATACAAATCCAAAACGAAGCGGGTCTGAAAACATGCCCAACTCAAAACCGCAGCGTCGGGCGACCGGTACGGTCGACCGCGATCCATCGCGGTCGACCGGACCGGTCGACTGCAACAGGCCCAACTCAAAACCGCAGCGTCGGTCGACCGGTACGGTCGACCGCGATCCATCTCGGTCGACCGGCCCGGTCGACCGCCCTCCATCCAGCGGCTTGCTCCAATGTCCAGAGAGTCGTCGGTCGACCGCGGCGGTCGACCGGCCCTGATCCAAATGCCCAGTAGCTTCTGTGCACGAATGCGGTCGACCGGACCGGTCGACCGCCAACCTGTTTGCCTCAAAAACTGAACCTGAGCTCATCTCTTCACGAGTTTCATTAGTAAGAGCTTTAACAAAACAATCCAAGAGAGTACAATGCATCCCTGCGAATCCTTTGCCCTTTGAAAACCCTACATGAGCGCATTAAAACTAGCTCAAGGAGACCTACGCTAAATTCTATGAACCAAACGCTGTAAGAAAATCACACATATTCTGATTTGATCCTTCCATTCACGTGCAACCCACGTTCACTTGACTGCTTGGTGGTAAATAAAGAATGCAATGTCCCCAGTCCTACCCAAGCAGTCGCCCGCTTTTTACCACACTTGACTGCTTGGTGGTAAATAAAGAATGCAGTGTCCCCAGTCCTATCCAAGCAGCTGCCTGCTTTTTACCACAAGCCAAGGAGGGCGCAAAGCAAAATACTCAAAACCCGGATCTCTCAAAGACTGAAATCTACAGCACAAGTACCCATGCCAACCCCCGCTCAGAAAACTAATGGCCTACACGAGTAGCCCATTAAACTAATGGCCTACACGAGTAGCCCATTAGAGAAAATGACCCCTGAAGGCTAATAAGAGCTTTGCTATAGGACTCAAAATATGATATCAACAGGGGGACATGTGAGATGTTCTCATCCTATTACATAATGAGCTGATCATCAATAATGATGGATAATGATCAGCTCATTATGCAATAGGAGGGAGACACCTCACATGTCCTCCTTATTAGTCTCATATTTTGTGTCCTTATTAGGGAATTGTTCAGCTAATAAACAAAACCCTGAAACCCCACCTCCTTGAACATAAAAAGTAAAGATTATGATTCCATTTTCTTGTTTCTGAAAAGACCTGTGCTTTAGATTTAAAGCTCATGACTCCAGACAACACTTCAAGTTGAGCACAACAAAGAATAATGCTGAGAGTCACCAATCATACCACCACACGATGCACACCTCACTTTCCACCTTTCGACATTCCTTTGGCTTGGCTGTGCTCCTGAGAGATGCTCCAACTCACAGAATAACTCATAGAAAAAGGCTTCATCTCCTCAAGAGCCCCAGACACTCATCATCAGACCCAAGCACAACCTCGACAATGTTAGAAATAATTCTCATCACCTTCATCATCATTACTTCAGTCTGTAGCTTCTCTCAATCTTTGCCTTCTCCTCTTGTTTCGTTCCTCCAAAGCCTCCCTCCATCTTCCCAGCATCTTCTCAGCTGGAATCAATCCTCAAACCCCTGCAGTTGGCCTGGAATCACCTGCACATCCACAAACATTCAGTCTGTTAACATATCGGGCCTCGGCATTGAAGGCACTCTCTCAAATTCTCTCCCTCGTCTCTGCAGACTTCCTGAATTGGTTACCATAGACTTCAGCCTCAACAATTTCTCAGGCTCAATCCCTCCTCAGCTCGGCAACTGCTCGAAACTGCAGACAATTTCGCTAGAAGACAATCTATTAACGGGGCACATTCCACCTGAGCTCTTCCTCTCTGGTCGACTTGTTAAGCTCGATGTCGGTCGCAATGCACTCACTGGGACAATACCAGCTGAGGTAAAGTTCTCTCCTTTGCTTGAACATGTTGGGTTCTATTCCAACTGGCTTAACGGTGAGATCCCAAAGGAGCTATTCTCACTCCCGAAGCTTAGGCATTTGTATATCAGTGTAAACAACCTCACTGGAAAAATGCCTGATTTCTCTTCTGAATGTGTGATTTCTGTACTTTATGTTCATATGAATATGTTATCTGGAGAGCTTCCTCTCAGTTTGTTTAACTGTCGGGACCTGACGGAGTTCATTGCTTCTGACAACGAGCTCGACGGTGCATTGCCTGATATGTTTTCAAGGGTTAAGAAGCTTGAGTGGTTTTTTCTTGATGATAACCGTTTTCGAGGAGAAATCCCTCGGAGTTTGGGAATGCTTGAGAATTTGACTCTGCTTGTGCTTAATTCTAATTATTTTGATGGTTCTATTCCTGACCAAATTGGGGGCTGTAGATCTTTATCGCAGCTTTCGATTTGGGGGAATGATCTTACTGGCCCTCTTCCTCCTTCGATTGGTGAACTGAAGAGCCTGACTTCTCTGTTTCTTGCTCAGAATCAGCTCTCAGGTCCTTTGCCTCCTGAGATTGGTAACTGCAGCTCACTCACTGAGATTGAGCTCCAAGATAACCTAATCACAGGAAAAGTACCAACAGAGATCTATAAGCTCAAAAATCTTGAGAGGTTATTGCTGTTCAAGAATCATCTGGAGGGGGGCATCTCTTCAGAGATCACAAAATTGAGCAATTTAGCAACTCTGCAGCTGTATAACAACAGTTTAAGTGGCGACATCCCGGATGAGATTACTCTTCTGAGGAAGCTGCAGTACATTTCGATGGCTTTCAATAGTTTGAGTGGAGAAATCCCTTGGGCTCTTGGAAAAGATACTGTTGGTGGTTTGATTAGTCTGGATCTTACAGGAAACTATCTTCATGGCTCAATTCCTCCATACCTCTGCAACGGTAATAGCCTCAATATATTAGTATGGGCGGAACCGATTTAACCGTAGTTTTCCTGCTGATATATTCTCTATCTCATTCCCTTAGGAGAGTGATTCTCGCCAACAATCGATTTCAGGGAAACATACCAGAAAATTTGAGCCTGAATCCTGGAATTTCATATCTAGACCTCAGTAATAATTTGTTCAAAGGGAACATTCCATTGAAACTTGGTGCCTGGAACAATCTCTCAATGCTTGATTTGTCGAATAACTCTTTTGATGGTTATATACCTTCTGAACTTGGTAGCCTTGATAATCTACAGAAGTTAAGGATTTCTTCAAACATGCTGACAGGACCGATACCTTCTGCATTAGGCAACTGTACAAAGCTTCTCAGCCTTGACCTCAGCTTGAATTCTCTATCAGGAAAAATTCCGCTGGAGATTGTACGATTAGAAAAATTGCAAAATCTTGTTCTTTCAGGAAATAAACTCACTGGAAAAATTCCTGATTCTTTTACTTCAACTCAGAGTCTTTTAGAGTTGCAACTTGGTGATAACATTCTCGAAGGTCAAATCCCAGTCACTCTAGGCAATCTTCAGTACATTTATCTGGCTCTAAACTTGAGTAACAATAAACTGACAGGTGAAATTCCTGCAACTTTCAGCAATCTCTGTAAGCTGCAGGTTCTTGATCTCTCGAGAAATTCTCTATCAGGTCAGATACCATTAGCATTGAGTTCCATGATCTCACTTTCATTTGTTAATGTATCATTCAACCAATTATCCGGCAATCTACCAGCCAACTGGATTAAGCTTGTAGCACAATTACCCAATTCCTTTCAGGGGAATCCGAACCTTATCATAAATAATGAAATTGAGAAAAAACACAGAAGCAAATCGACATGGAGGATTCCACTAGTGACAATAGCTTGTATCCTTTCACTCATTGGAGGAGCGCTTTTAGCTTCGAGATACTTAGCAGCTAGAAAAGCTCATAAACTGTCAGCAGTTTCGAGAATCTCAAAACGGGGGTTTGATTCAACTGGAGGATTGCCTGAAGATTTGACGTACGAAGATATACTTCGAGTTACTGAAGATTTGAGTGATAAGTATGTTATTGGAAGAGGCCGAAATGGGACTGTCTACAAGACAGAGTTTGGTAAAGGAAAATGCTGGGCATTGAAGAAGTTCAATTTATATGAGTCAAGCTTTTTTCTCGAGATGAAGATTATGAGTTTTGTAAGGCACCGGAATCTTGTAAGAATGGCTGGTTATTGTTGCAGAGATGGATTCAGGATGATAATATATGAATATATGGCTGGTGGAACCTGGTGGAACACTGTATGATGTCCTGCACCACAAAAGGCCCCAAATTGCATTAGATTGGGAGGTTCGGCATCGAATTGCTTTAGGAATTGCACAAGGGCTATCCTACCTTCATCATGATTGTGTGCCTCAGATTATTCACAGAGATGTTAAGTCCAATAATATACTGTTGGATTCTGAATTCGAGCCAAAAATTGGGGATTTTGGAATGGCGAAGATGGTTGAGAATTCAGATGAGAGCTCCACGATGTCTTCAATAGTTGGTACACTTGGCTACATTGCTCCAGGTATTCATCAGTGTTTTATTCATGTACATTATATTCATGAGGTTAACTGCGGATAGCCTGCCTATACTACAGCCAAATTATGGATAGAACGCTGTAGCTCTATTGGTGCAGATTAGTGATAGACACCCTTAGTGAACTTTTTTTTTTAATAACTCTTTTAAGAGACTAAAAAATCCACACTCGGACAAATAGTATGGGGTCTATCCATACCAATAGAACTACTAAAGATGGTCTATCAGCATCTGGGCAATAGTACAGGGGGTTTATCTGCAATAATGCAATTAACCCTATCCGGGGAACTAGAAACTGATTTCCTTTATACTTTCTTTTTCCTATGCAATTCTAGAAAATGGATATTCGACCAAGTTGACTGAGAAATCAGACATCTACAGCTTTGGAGTTGTTCTCTTAGAACTCCTTTCACGGAAAATGCCAGTGGATCCAAGTTTTGAAGATGGCGTCGACATAGTTACCTGGATGAGAGCAATGCTGAACATGAATAATTGGGTATTACTTTTTGAATCGCTTGATGAAGAGATAACCTATTGGATGGAAGATGATAGGGAAAAAGCACTGAAACTGTTAGGGTTGGCAATGTCTTGCACTCTATCAGCATTTGAAGCAAGGCCATCGATGAGAGAAATAGTTGGGGAACTGGTGAAGCTCAAGTAGAAGATCAAATTTTCCCGCTAAATGGACCTTAGAACGTCAAAGTTCTAAACCTGGGTCTTATTCAATTTTGCCTAAGTGGTAAGGACTTGGACTTTTGATGCAATTTATTGAATTTCAACTGTAGTAGTTTACATGGTCTGAATTTTGCAGATGGCAACTACTCGGCTAACGGAGGTGGGCTGTAGTACAGATAGATAGCTACTTAACTGATGATGAAAGATGATGGGGCCTCCTCATGTTGAGGTCAGTCTCATTCTTAACTCGAGCACAGTTAAACTACCCTTGTACATATATTCAGAAAAAATAAGTGCTACAATTTGTTGTATATACCAATGAAAAGGGATGTTAAGGGCTCGTAGAAAGTAATGTTTCCGAACTAACCATGTCTACATCAGCAAGCATGATGTTTTGTATCAGATGTGACCTGATAATCCTTTATATACTTCAAATTTTGATCTCTCCGACTGAACACCAAAAAGAAAAAAGATTTTCTGATATCTTAGAGTCTTGTTCAATACTTAAATGATCTACCATAGCATATTCATGGTGAAACCAGCAGTTTCAAATTGATGCATGCTGCACAACAATATGTTTTGGTCTGTTTTAATAAAATAAGTATCTATTTATCTTTATTTTTCCATTGCGATAAGGGATTAATTTACTATAGATTGGCATCTAGTTGAAATCTTTTCAGAAGGTGTGGGATTGAACTAGAGTAAACTAAGATATACATGCGCAAATGATACAAACACGCCACAACTTCTAAGTAGTATTAATAAGTAAAAGTGATAAGTTAATTGTCAGTCTGCAAGATAACATGGTCATTAGAAAATTAAACAGGAACATCCCATGAATATTGCATTCTAATAGGTAACCACAAAGCCACCGATTAGGCACAGCGGAAATAGTACAATGGTATGATAAATTGTAAAAAAAGAAAATAACAAGGACGCGCCAACCAAAATATATCTTCTAAGTATATGAATTTAACAATTAAGTCTCATGATGCATTTGGCTTTTGGCTTACATGTAACATGATCTTATAACTGTTGGATAGCATGTTATAATATGTTTCCTAATTTGTTTTGGCAACAGGTTATTGGTATTCCTAATCTGTTTTGGTAACAGGTTATTGGGATTCCTAATCTGTAAATTGTTGGATAGCAAGTACCTAATATGTTTCCTAATTTGTTTTGGTAACAGGTTATTGGGATTCCTAATCTGTTTTGGTAATAGGATTCCTAATCTGTTTTGATAACAGATTATTAGGATTCCTAATCTGTTTTGAATTTGGTTTTAGAATTCCTAATATGTTTTTGGTTTTAGGATTTCTATATATATGGAACATTTTAGAAGAGAAAATTGGTAGAGAGAATTAGAGAGGAAAAAAAAAGTCTTTTGAGCATATTGAGAGGGAGATATTGTGAGGGAGATGAGATCTTTGGTTAGGGTTATATTTGAGTGATTGTGTGAGTTGTAACCCATTGTATTTCTCCTCCATATAATAAAATCTCCCCATCATCTCCCCGTGGACGTAGGTAATTTACCAAACCACGTAAATTCTCTGTGTTGGTTTGATTTGTGATGTATTTTTTGTGTTTGCACTCGTGTTTGGTTTAGTTATTTTCTCTCATCGTTCGCGGACTCATTTGGTTGTCGAGCACACTTCCGCACGGCGCACAACAATTGGTATCAGAGCTCCATATTTGAGATCTAGGTTTTTGGCATTTGGTGGAGATAGATTCATTGTGGAAGCTTGGTTCTTGGAGTTCTAGGCTTTGGTGGAGATAGCGTTGTGGAGTTGCCGTTGGAGATCTCGTTTTCCTCGTGTGGTTAGGAGATCGTGTTGGAATTCTATCTAGGGTTCAGTTGGGTAATTTCTTAATTTTTATCAAAGATTGAATCTTTTTTTACAATTTGGAGTGGTTTGCAATGGGAGAAGAAGTTGGTGAAAGCAGCAAGATGATGGCGAGTACAATTCAGGTTGGATTTTGAAACACTAAGATTAGTGTGGTGAAGTTGTTGGCCTTCTTGTTTTGATGATGATTTACAAACAATTTACTACTAATATTGTTTGTCTAGTGTTTGTATTTTCGTATTTATTATAGACAAACAACGAAGTTGGAGGTTGGATGGATTGCGCCATAACGATCATATCAAATGGAGGATGGCGGATATTGTAGAGTGAAGCCTTGCAATTCAAAGTTAAAGATCAAGTTCAAGCTTCATCCGGGAGATTACCAAGAAGAGCTTATTGAAGATCAAGATCTAGCTTGGGTAATTTAGTTTAAGTTTTATATTATGTGTGTTAAGTACCTTAATCTCAATATCATATACACACACGTATTTGGTTTCTATGTATATATATAGTTATATATATACATGCATAGTTTTAGGTTTTCATGTTTTGGACATACTTGCAAAATACATGAGTTTTCACAAATAGAAATTCAATTTGAGAAATTCTTTTTCTAACATGTTTGTTTTCATGTTTATAAACATTTCGCAAAGTTTCATCAAGTTTGGAATTGATTTGTTATGTTTAATGGAATTTACAAAATCATGTTTTTCATTTGTTTATGTTAAAAGTTTATGTTCGTGCAGAGTTTTCATAAATGGGAAGTGATATTCAAGAAATTCTTTCTTTGACTTGTTTATCTACATGTTTAGAAACTTCCCTCAAAATTTTACTATTTTTGGAGTTGATTTACTGTGCCAATTGATTTTACAAAATCGTATATGTTAACAGTTTTTCAGAAACTGTAAATTTGTGTTCAAATATTTATTTCTCTCAACTGGGAAAAGATTTTTCAGAAATTCTTTCTCTGACATGTTATTCTACATGTCTAGAACATTCCCACAAAATTTCCTAATTTTTGGAGTTCATTTACTATTTTAAATTGATTTTACAAAACAGTTGTGCACTGCTATAGTAACTCCGGCCGACCGGAAATGTCTCTGGAACTTTTTCAGGTTTGTACAGTGCGAGCGGTCGACCGAAAAAAAGGTCGGTCGACCGCCCAGCTCCCAGAATGCCCATAACGGCTATTTTTTTATATCCGTTGGAGGGGTTTTTGGTCTTTTGGTTTGGGCTTTTGTTTGAGGTATTGAGAGGCTATAAATACCCCATTATACCTCAGTTTTAAAATATCTAAGAGAATGTTTTAGAAAGAGTTTAACAAGGGTTTAAACTTGTTTAAGTGTTGTTTAAGTTTGTTTAAGAAGCTTTTAAGCATTTGAGTGTTTGGGTTTGTGAAATTAACTTTACAAGAGCTTGAAGAGTTCTTCTATTGGTGCTTGAGCATTCAACATTTCCTCCTTCAATCTCTTGATCTACTTGAGAAGTCTTCTAAACTCTATTTCTAGATCTTTTTATATATTTGATTATCATTGTTATTAAGCTAGAATTATATTGAGTTTAGTTTTGATTTATTTAATCTCATTATTACACACACCCACATTAAGCTTTTAGTATTTACATACATAGTATAGTTGGGTGGTGAGAGATTGTAACTTTGAGTTGTGCTTATTTGAGTTCTCATCTATTGTAGAGAACAAATTTATATTTTTTACATTGAGTGTGTTGTGAAGTTTTTGGTGAACTAGAAAACCGTATTGTGAGGGTGGAGTGTAGCCACATTGTGAGAGAGTGTGTGGAGATCTCCTCGAGGTGAGGAGCGGAGACGTAGGTCGTGGGGACCGAACTCCGTGAGAGAAATTGTGAGGTGTAAACGTTATTCGGGTGAGCGTAGAAAACCCGGTTGTGATAGTGGATTCTCCCCGGGAGTGGGGAGCGGAGACGTAGGACGGAAGGTCCGAACTCCGTGATCATCTTTGTGTGTTTGTGATTGTCTTGGCGTCTCACTTGTGCTTATTGTTCATATCATTCTTGTCGCCATTATCTATTGTTCACATTGTCCACTATCTTGTTTATCTTGTTTATGTTTATATCACCCTTAGTTTATATATCCTTGCATATATATTTCATCATATAAGATATATCACTTTGTATATATTGCTTATTCTTGCTTATAACTCTTGTATATCTATCTTGCAAGAATACAACTTGTTAATTAATTTTAATTGGCATTTAATCGGATTAGATTAGCATAAGACCCTAATCTCCCCCCCTCTAGGGTCTAACAATTGGTATCAGAGCTTGGTGCTCTTTGATTTAAGGTCTAATCGCCTTGAGTTAAAGATCCAAGTTATGAGCGACGTACAAAACACTCTAATGCTAAAAATTTGGAAGAGACCATCATGGTCCATGAGAGGCCACCGAAATACGATGAGGCGATATGGGACAAGATGAATAGGAATGCTTGTGGGGTGATCAGGTCTTGTTTGGAACAAGAGCTGAAATACGATGTGATTGGGGTGACGTCTGCGATGAAGATGTGAGAGATTCTTAATAACAAGTATCTTACGAAGAGTGTTGAGAATCAGTTGCACTTGCTGCGGAGATTATTCAGATTCTATATGTCCATAAGCACCTCGCTTGCGGCTCATGTGAATAACTATACAAACTTATTGTCGGACTTGGCGAACGTGGATGAGAAGATAACGGACGAGTATAAGACGATTATCTTGTTAGGCTCCTTACCCGATGAGGAGTATGATACATTCATGCTCACTTTGTTGAACGGTAGATCTTTCTTCACCTATAATGAAGTGACTAATACGTTGACGAATTACGATCTGAGGAGGAAGGACAAAGAGACTTTCAGAGCTAGTACTTCAGGAGAGGCCTTGTCGATGAGAGGAAGGAGTCCATATCCGAGAGGTGGCAATAGAGGTAGGTCAAAATCTAGAGGCCACTATCAATTAGCAAAGAACCAATGTGCTTTCTGCAAAGAACAAGGACATTGGAAGAGAGATTGCCCGAAGCTTAGAGAGAAGGAGAATAGCAAGAAGAAGGGCCCGAAGGCCAATGAGGTGAATGTCGCTAGAGGTGATGATTTAGATGATTCCTGCTTTTCTATATTGATTACTCCAGAGGTGAACTATGCGGATGCATCGGATTGGATGCTACATTCTGGCGCTACTTATCATGTGACTCTCTAGCAAGATTGGTTTGTATCTTTTGAGAAGCTCAATGAGGGCATGATAGTCATGAGAAATGATCAATCCTGTAGCATTTGTGGGATAGGTACCGTCAGGATTCGGATGCACGATCGAGTTGTTTGAGAGCTGAATGAAGTGAGATTTGTTTCTCAGTTGAAGAAGAATTTTATTTCCGTTAGAGTTTTGGAGGCAAAGGGATTCAAGGTGACTTTTGAGAATGCTATAGAAAAAGTTACTAAGGGATCATTGGTAGTGATGAAGGGAGTCCACAGTAGTAATCTTTATTATCTGAAGAAAAGCACCAAGATTGATCAGGTAGCTTTAGCTGTTTCATAGACGGACGCGAGTAGACTTTGGCAATACAGATCAGGGTACACAAGTGAAAAGTCACTGCAGGGTTTGTGCAAGCATGAGCTATTAAAGGGAGCCAAGAGTAGGAAGATAGAATTATGTAAGAACTGGGTTCTTGGCAAGTTATCTATTGTTCACATTGTCCACTATCTTGTTTATCTTGGTTATGTTTATATCACCCTTAGTTTATATATCCTTGCATATATATTTCATCATATAAGATATATCACTTTGTATATATTGCTTATTCTTGCTTATAACTCTTGTATATCTATCTTGCAAGAATACAACTTGTTAATTAGTTTTAATTGGCATAAAATCGGATTAGATTAGCATAAGGCCCTAATCCCCCCCCCCCCCCTCTAGGGTCTAAAAGAAGTATGATGAAAAATCAATTTTGGTTTGTGGATGAGCGACGTACAAAACACTCTAATGCTAAAAATTTGGAAGAGACCATCATGGTCCATGAGAGGCCACCGAAATACGATGAGGCGATATGGGACAAGATGAATAGGAATGCTTGTGGGGTGATCAGGTCTTGTTTGGAACAAGAGCTGAAATACGATGTGATTGGGGTGACGTCTGCGATGAAGATGTGAGAGATTCTTAATAACAAGTATCTTACGAAGAGTGTTGAGAATCAGTTGCACTTGCTGCGGAGATTA